TCCTCATTCTAGGTACATAAAGGCAAAACATTGTCTAGTCACTTCCCTCGTTTTACTGTCACACCTTGTTAAAGACAGAGAGCAGGTGGAGCTGGAGTATGTGGCTTTGCAGGGAGCCACCACCCCATGGCAAGATGTGTGGTTGTTAAGGGCATCTTCTCTGGAGTAAAGGCTGTCTGAATTAAAACTTTGACTGTACTACCTCCCCATGTACAATGCTGGCAAATTGCTTAGCTTCTTTGAGCTTCAGTGCCTTTATCTGTAAAATGATGCTCATAACCGTATGAGCATTGTACTGTCTTTCTTAGGATTAAATGAGATAATCCACAGAAAGAGCTGACACTGAGCCTGGCAAATGGTTCACTCAGTACTTTTAGGAGTTGTTGTCAGTCCTTGCCAAAAGAGGGCATCTTCTCTGTTAAACAATATGAAGAACTAATAATAGGGATTAATTATGAGTATGAGTGCTAATGGATTAAGGTTTACTCAAGGAAATCAACGGCCAAATGTGTAGGAGGATGGTGAAAGGGAAGTCTTACAGTACATCTCTACTCTACCTCATCAGTGGTCTGAAATTTGCCTCCTTGTAATTTGCCTCAAGTCATTTCATGGGTGGGAACTCATTGATCTCACTTGCTGACTTCAAGAGGGCAGAGAACATTGCTAACAAAAATGGGAAGTTCAGTTCATTTCCACTGGTGTTTTTTCATTCTCTGCCACACCATTTCTCATCATTTTTCCTATTGGGGAATTTGTGTTTGGTCATTTTCCAAAGCTCCCCACTGACTCCTTGATAATGTCCCAAATCCCCAGCTTGGTGTTCAAGATTCTGGCCTCCAGAATTTTACCAAACATCCACTACATCTTTTCATAGGATACTGCCGTCCAGCCAAACAGAACTGTTCGCAGTCTTCTCAGTTACTTCTCAGTTCTCCACTCCAGACCTTTGCTCATGGCCTCTCTTCTCCCTGTATGGAAACATTCTTAAAGCTCCAGCTTTTATGTCAACTCTCTAATGAAAAATTCCTTGCTCATGACTGCACAGTGGTCATCTTTTATTTATAAACTCTTGCCCAATATTTTGTCCAGTCGCTTTCAAATTTTTAGCTGGAATCAAAGTAAGAAATATATTTTGCATTGGCACATATTTCATTTAAATTTACACACACATGCATACACCTATAAAAAGCTTCATGAAGTTATTTGCAAAATCATTCTAATGTTGTCCCTTTTCTCTTTCATTTGGCAAAAGCTCTGATTATAATCCATTAAACAGATTTTGTGGGTTTTTTTTAATTTAATTTATTAGGGTAACATTGGATAATTATATAGAATTCAAGTGTATAATTCTATGATACATCATCTATACATCTATACACCTAAAAAATGCTTCATGAAGTTATTTGCAAAATCATTCTAATATTGTCCCTTTTCTCTTTCATTTGGCAAAAGCTCTGATTATAATCCATTAAACAGATTTTGTGAGGTTTTTTTAATTTAATTTATTAGGGTAACATTGGATAATTATATAGAATTCAAGTGTATAATTCTATGATACATCATCTATACATTGCATTGCATGTTCACCACTCAAAGTTGAGTGTATGGCAACAGAAGGAGATTTGACTTTGGGTCCTGGCCATTAGACAGATTTTAATTTCTCTTTTAATGCCTTATAACCTGCACTGTGAAAAACACTTTGAAAAAAAAAATATCCTTTATTATTTTTTGTGTATAGGCATTATGTTCCCTACCAGATTGAAAGCTATTCAAGGGTGATACTATGTGGTACATTACAGAATATTTTACTGTATTAAACCATGCTTTCCATATTTGTTCCTAAGTGTTTGTGAAAGAAAGGAAGGG